ATTACCGTAATCCCCCGGATATAGGCGCATCCCTTTATTTGGCTTATTGCGCTTATGGAGTGCAAGTGCGCTTATTTCTGTTATTTCATTATGAGCGCACCCATATTTTTGAAAATGTATTTCCTATTGGCGCATCACTTTTTGTATATACTTATGTTAAACATGCGATTTATATAATGGAGTTTCTGCCGTGCCCTACCCGAGCGCCTCCCGAACCAGAAGCGCGAGTCTCGCTCACTGTGTTGACTCTGCTTGGCTCGCGATTTCGGTCAGTCCTGGATGGATCTCGTGGCGGAAGCTTTGTCAGCCAACTTCTCGCGATTTGTCAACATGCCGCCCTTTGGAAAGACACGCTCTAGAACGCAAAATTAGAGAACTACATTTTCACGTGTTCAAATATTTTTTCCATAAATTTCCTTTCATAAGCCCTGGGCTTATAAAATTTATTCGATTATAAGCCCATGCCACTTTTGTTAGGTATTTCCTATAAGCCCCTATGCGCCTATATCCGGGGGATTACGGTACCCTGACTGGCCTTGTGGCCTCTCCCAGTGGCTAGACTAGTAGTGCCGCCCTGGTCTTGCTCTTGTCTTTGTCTGTACTCCTTTTTGACTGGTCTTTAGACCCTTGACTCTGAGGCTGGACTAGTAGTGCTGCCTTGAGCTGCTTGTTCTCCTATTAGGCACTGCCCCTATATAGTTTAGGGGGTGTGCCAAACATAACTTAGTGTGTTATTTGTAGACTATATAGGTTTGTGCCTTAGAGGGTACAACACACTAGCCTATATTCCCCTATACTCTCTCCTTCTAGTCATTCTTGCATTCTAACAAAAACCTCACTCCATTCTATGGCTTCCCTAGCTACCTAGTTCCTTTGACACTGTAGTCTGGAACCAGAACGGCACTGACCCATGAGGTCAAGGGGAGTAGTTTCAGCACCATGCACTCCCAAAAATCACACCCCCGACGGACGGAGGGCAGGCAAGGTCAGAGACCAGAGCGGTGGCGTAGTCAAGGCGGCGGGTAGAGGCGAAGTCAGCGACAGCAGCGACAAGAGCGTTAAGGCATGAGACAGGAACAGACGGGTCGGTAACGAGGGAGGCAAGGACACAGGGAACAAGGGGACGAGCAGCACATAGGAAGTCAGAAAACGGATGCGGGGCCACAGCGAGCGACGATGGAGGAGGAGACGGGAGGAGCGGAGGAGTACGAGACGCATGGAAGCGACGCAACATAGGGTGAGAACGCGGAACAGGGGAGGTAGGACGAGCACGAGACGGACAACGAGCCCAGACGTGAGACGGAGGAGTCGGGTCAGGAGAGAGGGGAGGAGACACAAGAGGAGAACGAGGAGGGAAACAAGCCGGAGAAGAGTCCACTGGAGGAAACACAGGGCCGTAGACCGGCAGAGGAGGCGGCGGCGGCGACTGAGGAGGCACCGGCGGGCGGTCAGGAGAAGGAAGGCCGAGGAGGCGAAGAGCGGACGCTGGCGGCGACTTTGACGACTGCTGCTTGACGCCAACACCAGAACCTCCAACAGGACCACGGCTCCCTCCGGGAAGCCTCGCGCCAGCACCCCCAGAATAGGAACCCTCTCCAGTACCCGCTCCGGCACGCTCCCCAGCACCCCCAGAACGCACAAACCCCAGCGGCGGTGACGACGACGGCTGCGGCTGTGGCGGCGACAGCAGCTGCGGAGGCGGCTGCGGCTGTGACAGCAACGGCGGCGACAGTGGAGGAGAGACCGGGTCGGGGACAGGCGGGAGACGGGACTCCGCCGAGCCGCGAACGTCAGCAAACCGCTCAGCAGGGACAACCGACAGGAGAGGGGTGACGTGAGACAAACCCGACGGGGCAGGGCGGGGAGGGGGGGGAACAGGGGCGACCGGGGGAGGGGGGGGAACCTGGAACTAGGGGGGGTGATCGGGGGACCGCGGTGGGGAAAGTGGTGGTAGAAGGAGACGGACTCATCAAAGGTGACGTCGCGAGAGTGAAGGAAACAGTGAGACAGCGGGTGGTAGAAGTGCCAGTCAGACGACTCAATGGGGAAACCTAGGAAGACACAGGGGACGGTGCGGGCAGTGAGCTTGTCCGTGCCAGAGGCACGAACGTGAGCAAGGCAACCCCAGATGTGGAACGCAGACGCGTCACTAGGAGAACCGGTCCAGAAGAGGGTCGGCGAAACCTGCGGCCGCTGAGGGTGCGGCCACAGGTTAAGCTGGTGGGCGGCGTAGCGAACGGCGAACGGCCATGGAAAATGGGGTGCACATGCATGGATCATGGAGGTACGAGCCACCTCTATGACCAAGCCGATGTGTCACTCAGTGACCCCATTCTGCTGCGTGGAGTCTGGCAGGGTGTACGTCTGGGTGATGCCCTACGCACGACAAAAGTGACCAAGGCAGCCAGATGCGAACTCGCCACCATGGTCGGATTGAAGACGCAACACAGGGAGACCTCGGTGCACACGCGCAGAGACAAGCCACGGGATAAGAACGTCGGGCACGTCGGCCTTCCGCTCCAGGGGAAACACGGTGGTGTAGCGAGTGTAGTCGTCGACAAGCACTTGGAAGTAGCGCTCACGACGTGGCCCATGGACGGGGGCGGGCCCCCAGATGTCCATGTGCAGGGTCTGTAACGGTGCAGTGGTGGGGGGGAACGAGGGGGAGTGAGGGGCACGGTGGAGCCGGCCTTCGACGCAAGGGGTGCACGGAGGCACTCCCGGTGCAGCATGGTGTGGCGCGGTGCAGGATGGTGGAGAGGGTCGGTGAGGCGGGCGGGGACCGGGAAACACGACGGCAGAGCCGCTGGGAGACGGAGCCGCGTGGGAGATGGGGCGCAGCTTGGCGACGGGGCCGCGGGGCGGCTGGGCGACGGGGCCGCGGAACGGCTAGGCGACGGGGCCGCGGGGCGGCTGGGCGACGGGGCCGTGGAGCAGCGGGGCGACGGGTCGCGGGGCGGCTTGGCGACGGGGCCGCGGAGCAGTGGGGCGACAGGGCCGCAGGGCGGCTTGACGATGAGACCGCGGGGCGACTGGGCTACGAGGCCACGGGGCGGCTAGGCAACGGGGCGGATAAGGCGACGGGGCGGCAGGGCGGCTACGCTAGGGGCGACGCGGCCGCGGGGCCAGAAGGGCGGCTAGGAGCTGGGTGACAGGGCGACAGGGCCACGGGCGCCTGGGCGCTAGGTGACGGGGCCGCGGGGCCAGCAGGGCGGCTAGGCGCTAGGTGGCGGGGCGGTGGGGCCAGCAAGGCAACGGGGCAGCGGGGCCCGTGGGGCGGCTAGGCGCTAGGCGACGGGGCAGGCTAGGACCTAAGGCGGAAGCGCGGGTGGGCGGGGGGGACCTAACCTACTCATGACACCATCTTAGAGTTAGAAAAATTGACTAGAATGAGAGTATACAGGGGTATATAGCTAGTGGGTTGTACTCTCTATGGCAAGACCCTATGTAGTCTAATAAACATACACAAATATATTTGACACACTTGGCATCCGGTGCCAACACAGCTGATATCTTTACTAAGGCGCTTGCGCCTAGAGATTGTCAGCGACACTGTTTGCAGCTTGGTCTAGTTCCTGTAGACTCTCACTTGATACGACCTTGATTGTGTACTCCTCTTATATATATCTTTCGGACTGGCCTTGTGGCTTCTCTTCCAGTGGCCGGAGTAGTAGTGCCGCCCTGGTTTGCTCATGTCTTGTTTGTACTCTTGCTAACTGTTCTTCGGACCCCTATCTCAGAGGTTGGACTAGTAGTGCCACCCTGAGCTGTGTGCTTCTTGCTCAGCACTACCCCTTATCTAGCCTAGGGGGTGTGTCAACTTATACATACATTTGCATGTAGAAGTTATAGGCTAGAATAGGTGTGTGTTTTAGAGGGTACAACCCAAGCCCTATATCTCCCTTGTTTTCTCTTCTTGCTAATTATTCTAGTATTCTAACATTATGGACATAGTGAAGGCACCTGATTGGCCAGAAACTTGACTGGGGGGGTTTGCGTGGGTTCGGCTGCAGGAACTTGAAAGTGCGGTCATTGCAATTTGGGACTTTTGCAACTCTACAAAGCTCCCGCCCCCTGTGGATCGCTGACTCACGCCATTTTTTTCACGAAACCAAACCTCTCGTCACTCCAAACCCACCTACCTAGTACTTGTCATGTTTCTAAAGCATGAACAATTTGGGCTGCGGGCTTTAAATCATTTGCTTCTAGATCGCACATGCCATTTTCCACAGCGGCGCGCGAGCCGCAATGATGACGAAATTGGGCTGGCGTGAGCGGGAAAGTTGCCCGAGCCAGACGGAGGTTACGTCTACTGACCATTTGTGGGACGTTTTCCTTGAATTCACCGACTAGTTGTGGAATCTGATTGATGATTTGTGTTACGAATTCACTCATTCTGATTTGACGTATCGTTGTTCTACTGACCGTACGTATGAGCGGGACTCCTAATACTGAGCGTGTACACACTCTCTCTTATTGAGGTTGAGGGCATTGGCGAAAATGAATTTCTCGTTTGTCCCAGGGGGGAAGCGGAGGTGAGTCTACGCGTATACTGTGTTACCTGATGGCTTTCGCCACAGCGCAGTGCTGACCTGTCAGATTCAGAGCCGCGCAGATTCCGGCGACACTGGCGCATGTCAAAACTTCGGCCCACGTGGCTGTTTGACGAACAGAATGCCACCATTAGAAACCGCACGAAGCCGTACGAATCTACAAGCGACTGATCTGAGCTTCGTTATTGGTCGCACTTCCAGATTCTTTATTCTCGTCCGAGAAAATTCTCCGCAATTGCTTTCGCCTGTCGCCTGCCTGTCGCTCCAAGGAATCTGAGGAATCCGAGGAATGACCCCCTGGCATCAATTGATCCTTCCATTTCCCTACACAGAATCCACTTCCAAACATATGTGCTCCCCAACAACTCACCCAACCATACATTGACTTACAGAACCGCAATAAAACGTATTATTGGGAGACATACTTGGCTTCAGAATCAGCAGCGCGCTTCTCCGTTCAGAAGCTGCAGTTTCTCCATTCGAATCCTGATCAGCCGCGACCGCCTTTTCCTCTCTCTCCAGTGGCCATAGATCGGTCGCTTCCTCCATTTCTACTACCGTACACCAAACTTTCCCCTTTTCTTGATCTTACTGGGAAAGCAGCACGTATCAATCTGATCAGGCCACGTCTCAAGGCCAACAAAAGAAGACCTTCCATAGATTTCTTCTTAAAACCACTCTAATAGCGATCGGGAGTCCCGTGAGTAGCAGCAAGCAGCAGATGCAGGCCAAGAACGCTTTGAGAGACTTGAAAAGTAGATCTCGGCAGCCGGCCTTCATTAGCTGGTCTCCCAGACGCCTGTAGAGCTGACTTGCTGTACCCACTAGACCTCGTCACGGTGATATCGCGGTCAGCGTCAGCGTCACCGTCAGAGGTTTAAGCATCTGAGCTCTAGAGAATCGTTTCCTCTTTCAGATATAGCAGACCGAGTCTGCTTCCGGACGTTTCAGAGCAGACTTGCTGTGCCAGCCAGGCCGGTCGGCATGGTGTTATGGGAGCTGACGCTGGCGACGGCGTACTTCCTCGGACTCAAACGGACTTACCGCCTGGCGCTTAGAATGCAGCGGAAAGTTCTTGTATCGAGACCAGGGATTCGCGACTTCGCGAAAAGGTAGGCTTCGCTTGAGACGCCCGGGGGTTGTTTCTACCGAATGAATCGATTCTTGGCTTCGCAAAACAGTAGGTCTTTTAGGGTTTCCCAATCTCATTTGGACGAGCATGCTTGGTAGTTCTCGGCTGACCGATTGCATCCGGCCCAACTAGCCTGCCCGCTCCGACCTGATCCATCCCGCATACCGAATCGAACTACCGAACCGAACTGCCGAACCTGCTCGACCGAACCTGCCTAACCGAACCAGCGTGGCAGATCCTGATCTTGCACTGCTCTCTTCGGTCATGTCTTTTTGTACCCTCCTCAAAGTGACTTCTAGGCATGTCTGGAGGTGCAGAGGTTTCTGCTCTAACGGGAGCTTTTGCGAAAGTTCTTAATGCGGATCTCAACCCAACCTCTTGTGTGACGTTGCTAACTGTATGTTCAGGTCTAGAACCCGATCAGCAACGATCAGCAACGATTAGCAACGGGATCCGTAATCGTTGCTAATCGGGTAATAGACCTGAGCATACGATTTGCTCTAGGGACCGAGCCTCATCCTGCCTCTTTTTTCGTGAATTCTCCTCCCTCCCCACCCCATTCCTCTTCCTCTCCCTCGATTCCAATCCTTCCCCCTCCCTCCCTCCGTCCCTCCCTCCCTCCCTCCCTCCCTCCCTCCCTCCCTCCCTCCCTCTCCCCCTCCCCCCCCCCCGTTCTATTACTCCGTTCTATTACTCTCCCATCCAGACGTGCACCAGCAGTGTTCGGAATAGCCCTGGCAGGCGTAAGAGAATTCTCAAAGCTGCCTTGCCTTCCCAATTGCACCAACCCATTATGCCGTCCATCCCATCCCCCCCCCCCTCTCTCCTTCTCTCTCCCCCTCTCCCCTAGTCGCAGACGAGCACTGGTAGGAGAGGCCCCCGCAGCCGTGCGCCACAGTCGTGTGCCGCAGCCATGGAGACGATTCAGCATAGGGGCATTGAAGTAGACCTGCCTGTCAGCAGCTTATTGCGAGGCCGCACAGCAAGCCTCCCTCATTTCCTCCCTCCCTCTCTCTCTCCCGTTCTCCCATCGTCGCACACGAGCAGTGTTCTGGGTGGCTCTCACAGCCGTCGATTGAGACCATCCAGCACAGGGACATCGAGCTGTGTCTCTTTTTGAGATTTTTAATAACTGACTCCACTCGACCTGGGTCTCTCCCCCAGCAGCAGCTATAGCCAGGCCGTACAGAAAACCTCCCTCACTTGCTCCCTCCCTCTCTTCCCCTCTCCCACACCCGCACTGGAGAAGGTGGCCCTCACAGCCGCTGAGACCATGCAGCACAGGGACATGGAGCTGGGTCTCTTTTTGAGAAGTCTCAAAGATGACTCCACTCTTGCTGGGTCTCTCCTCCAGCAGCTATAGGGAGGCCGTAGAGAAAACCTCCCTCACCTGCTCCTTCTCTCTCTTCCCCACTCTTGCTGGGTCTCTCTCCCAGCAGCTATAGCGAGGCCGTAGAGAAAACCTCCCTCACCTGCTCCTTCTCTCTCTTCCCCACTCTTGCTGGGTCTCTCTCCCAGCAGCTATAGCGAGGCCGTAGAGAAAACCTCCCTCACCTGCTCCTTCTCTCTCTTCCCCACTCTTGCTGGGTCTCTCTCCCAGCAGCTATAGCGAGGCCGTAGAGAAAACCTCCCTCACCTGCTCCCTCTCTCTCTTCCCCTCTCCCACACCCGCACTCAAGCCGGTGGCCCTCACAGACGTCGATTGAGAGACCATCCAGCATTGGGACAACGAGCTGGGTCTCTCGCCCAGCAGCTATAGCGAGGCCTTATAGCCAACCTCCCTCTCCCTCTCTTCCCCTCTCCCACACCCGCACTCGAGCAGGTGGCCCTCACAGCTGCTGAGACCATCCAGCACAGGGATATCGAGCTGGGTCTCTCCCCCAGCAGCTATAGCGAGGCCTTATAGCTACTTTGGAGGCGCCTCAAAAGTGCTCCACCCTAGCAGCTATAGCGAGGCCTTATAGCCAACCTCCCTCTCTCCCTCCCCGTATCCCGTTCCCCAGGCGTTCGCTTGCGAGTTTTGAAGTGGGCACTAACGAGCTGTTAAGAATGTCCAGCGCAGGGACATTGAAATATGTCGCTCCGCTGGGAATTCCCTCCTGCACTTCCTCAGCCGCATGAAGCTCTTCTGCTTTCTACCTCTCCCATTCCTCTCGTCCTCAGGCGTACTTTTGAGTTGACTCAAAAGTCGCATGGAACGCTCTTCCTTTCTACCCTTCCCCTTCCTCTCGTCCTCAGGCGCACCCGAGCAGTGTTCGGGGTGGCCCTCACGGCCGTCGAGACCATCCAGCACCGAGACATCCAGATTGGCCGCTCTGTCGGCAACTTCCTCCTGCGCTTCCTCGACCGCATGAAGCCCTCAGCTCACATCCGCGGGGATGCACCTGTGCAGGGGGGTGCGGGAGTCAATTCAATCCATGCACCCATGCCAGGAAGTGCTGGGGTTAATTCAAGCCATGCACCCATGCCAGGAAGTGCTGGGGTTAATTCTAGCCATGCTTCCGTGCCGGGAGAAACAGCAGGGGGCGGTGGGCTTTCTTCAAACCACGGTGTTGGGGGGTCACACGCTACTGGCGCTGCAGCAGGACAGCATGGCAGTGTCAGTACTAGCAGCAGCAGCAGCAGCGGCAGTGGAGTGACTAGCAGCAGCAGTAGCAGAAGTTTTAGCACCATCGCTGGCCTCGGCGCCAGCAGCAGAGCCAGCAGCAGCAGCAGCAGCAGCAGAGCCAGCAGCAGCAGCAGCAGCAGCAGTGGTAGCATACATGGTTGGGAACGGAAGCACGTGCATACACATGCATTCGCGCCTATCCAAACCCCCTCATCCCTTTCAGCGCACCTGGCATCCACAGCACTCCTGCAATCCTCCACATCCCTCCGGGGGCTCATGCTGCCAAGCAGAGGAACCCAAATTCTGTCACACGGCTGTCTTGCTGCAGTGCAAACCTTTCCTCGCCCGCCCTCTATGGCGCCACTCTACCTGCAGCCTCGCTCGTCTCAAACTTCCCTGCTCTCGTCTCAATTCGCCACTCCGTCCTCCTCCAATCTCCCTTCTGCCACCGGTGCCGCCCCTGGTGCTGCTGCTGCCTTTACCTGCTTACCGCGGATAGTCCAGTCGCTATTGGCACCTGGATCGATGTGAGTCCAGCCGCTATTGGCGCCTCGATCGATGTGAGCGACTTATGTTTAGGGCCCGCCCTTTGCTGGGAGTAGCCCGCCGCTGCTGGTGTTTCCCCTGGCGCTGCTGCTGCCTTTACCTGCTTACCGAGAATATTCCAACCGCTATTGGCGCCTGGATCGATGTGAGTCCAGCAATGTGGTATTTTCAGGCGCTTCAAACCCGCCCATTGCCGGGTGGGAGTAGTCCGACCGCCGCTGCTGTTTCCACCGGTGCAAGCAGCTTTTAGCTCGTAGGAAAGACAACAGGCCTATGTAGGGAGAGCGAAGTAAAGCCTGCTTCTGAGTGGATGGATGTAATTTTCGGAGGAGATGCCCATGTGTCGACGTAGTACATTACGGTTGGTGGTGTACTTCAATAATGTTAATGATGAACTTTTCATTGTTCACCAAACGTTTTTCATACTCGGTAACAATGCGCTGTCTGGTTGGTCCATCCACCCCCAGCAATACTGTGGGGCTGAGAAAAGCCCTTAGGATCTTTTGCAGAGACTAAGTCCCAGCTGTAGAGACTTGAGACTTGGAGCAGTGCAGCGGAAGTTGAGACAGTTGAACCCTTGTACTAGTATGTGAGAACAAGTGATTGATTAAAGAAACAAGCATACAGCAATATATAGAAGATAAGAAAGCAGTTGCAGAGTACAGTTACAGGTACGGTTTATCGAGTCGCATAGCGACTCGATTGCCGCTTCGGTTACCATCCGTGATGCTGTAACGGTCAGTCGCAACCTCCAGTTGCGACCCTTTGAGTCCCAGACCCTTCGTGTTCTTTGTCCGCCCCCTCGTGTAACCTCCGTTGACTCGCGTACCCCTTGCAATCTTCCTCGAGTGTAGTGTTACACTTCAGAAACGCTTAAGTCTTTTGATGTACTTTCAACAAATACCAGCTGCCAGCCAGCTCTGCCAATACCTACAGATAGGTACATGGACTGCAGGAGCGACCAAGCCATAGAAGTTTTAGTACCGCTAAATTCATTCTTATCAAGCGGTTTGGTCAGACGTCAAGCATATCAAGCTTGTCTGGATCAAACGGCATGAGACCAGGGGAGCCCTCCCACAGATCTGTCAACTCGCCTCGTCTCCACGCTTCTAGCGACACGGGGCCGAGAGTAGAGGGCACCTGAGAGTGGGAGGGGTGGGAAGGGGGTGGATGAAGTAAGAGTATAGACGGACCCAGGCTGTTGCTTCTGAAGTACATCTCCCAACTCGCCTCGTCTCCACGCCACCAGCGACACAGGGCCGAGAGTAGAGGGCACCTGGTGGAGGGAGAGGGATGGGAGGAAAATGGAGGGGCGGGGGGGCATAAGATTGCTTTACAAGGAGTCCAACCTCCCGGCTCGCCTCTTCTCCACGCCACCAGCGACACAGGGCCGAGAGTAGAGGGCACCTGGGGGGTTGAGAGGGATGGGAGGAAAATGGAGGGGCAGGGGGGCATTGGGGCAATAAGATTGCTTTACAAGGAGTCCAACCTCCCGGCTCGCCTCTTCTCCACGCCATCAGCGACACAGGTGACTTATGAGTCGACTCAAGGTGACTTTTGAGTCGACTCAAGGTGACTTTTGAGTCGACTCAAGGTTACTTTTGAGTCGACTCGAGGTGACTTTTGAGTTGACTCAAGGTGACTTTTGAGTCGACTCGAGGTGACTTTTGAGTGGACTCGAGGTGACTTTTGAGTCAACTCAAGGTGACTTCTGAGTCGACTCAAAAATCTTCATGCCACCAGCGACACAGGTGACTTTTGAGTCGACTCAAGGTGACTTTTGAGTCGACTCAAGCTGACTTTTGAGTCGACCTTGTGGCACATAAACCATAGGCAACACATCAGCACAACAGGTCAGGTAGCGCAGGACGGGTGTGGCGACCTTGTGGTAAGCCGCACAACAGCAGGCAGCGCCAGGTCAAGCACAAGCCTCACAGTACACCCTACTTGGGAATGGAACTGCGTTTACAATTGAGGCATAAAACCAAATGGCCAGCATGCATACCCACCACAGCGAAGCAGCATACGAGGTACGGCACGGCAGGTTGTGGCGACCTTGTGTTGGTAATTTCGTGTTGAGACGTCTCAAAGCGAAATTACCACAACAAATTAACCTACCAGGTACAGCAGAGCGGGTTGCGGTGATCTGGTGAGCACGCCAGCAGCCAGGGCAGCCACAAACCCCACAGTATACCCCACTGCTGCCACCCACACAAAGCTCAGCTGGCCTTTCTCACGCTTCCCCCATCAGCCTTCTCCCAGACACACCGGCCCCGGCCGACTTGTGCTTACAGCAGGTGCCACACCAACCCCAGCAGACATGCCACACGCAGCAACTCAACCTACCAGGTACAGCAGGGCAGGTTGCGGCGACCTCGTCAAGATGCCAGCAGCTAGAGCAGCCACCAGCCTCACAGCATACCCCACTGCCGCCACCCACACATAGCTCAGCTGCACTCTCCATGCAGGACCTATTCGCATTGCCCCAGGCACACCAATTAACCTACCAGGTATAGCAGAGCAGGCTGTGGCGACCTTGTGAGCACGCCAGCAGCCAGAGCAGCCACAAGCCCCACTGTATACCCCGCTGCTGCCACCCACACGTAGCTCAGCTGGCCTCTCCCACGGGCCATACCCCTTTCAACACACACGTTGTCTTGAGCTGACTTGTGCCGAGAGGCTGATACTGGGGGGCCTGAGGTAGAAGACTCCAGGAGTGGCCGATCCAAGTGCTGCTGAGTATGCTTTTGAAAGTGCTTCTGAGAACTCTCCTGCAACTCCTGGTGCTGCTCCTCCCCTCCCGTGGCTGCCTCTAGTGCTTCCATCTCCCTCTCCTGCTCTTCCTCCTGCTGCTGCCGCCTCTTGTGCTGGTCGACGCACAGAACAAGGGCTAGCAGCATGCCTGGTATAGCCTGCAATTCGAGGGGAAGGAAGAAAAGTGGCCTTTTTGGTGCTCTGACTCCACTTTTGAGTCGACTCAAAGGCAGGAAGAAAGGGGTTGTTATTTGGCGTTCTGGCTCCGCTGCTGCTGACGCCTGCTGCCGCCTCTTGTGAGCAGGGCCAGGAGCATGCTTGAGATAGAATGCACGTAATGGGAAGAAAGGAAAGAGGAAGATCTCCGGACAAAAATAGGAATGGGAAGATCTCCGGACAAAAATAGACTCCTCACGAATGGGAAGAAAGGAAAGAGGAATGGACGTTTTCAAAGAAAGTGGGCGGCTCTTGAGTTGACTCAAAGGGGACTGGGCGACGGTGCGGGCGGGGTTGTGTGTCTGCTGCGTGACCACATACACCATCACCTCACCTCTCACGAATGAGGGCCAACTTAACCATAATTTAAGATGCACCACACTGTAAATCTCCTCAAACAGGTCTCGAGGGAAGAGCAGCTTGACGGGCAGCTCGATCTCCCTCACTATCGACCCCGACACTGCAGTGGGCAGGCGCAGCGACTGGGCGGCGGTGTGGGATGGGGCATTCCGAACGCACCAGTGTGGGATGGGGCATTCCGAACGCACCAAAACTCACCATGTCGCCAAGGCCGAGCACCATGAAGTCTCGTGCTCTCCCTCCACTCCGTCCCCCCCAAAACTTCAGCTCTCCGAACAAATCCCGAGGGAAGAGCAGCTTGACGGGCAGCTCGATCTCCCTCACTATCGACCCCGATACTGCAGTGGGCAGGCGCAGCGACTGGGCGACGGTGTGCGCGGGGTTGTGGGCTTGCTGCGTTGCCACTGACACCATCACATTGGCGCCGAAGAAGCGGTGAGAGAAGAAGACCCAGAAGATGTCGTAGGCGAAGAGGCACGCCAGGAGAAGTGCAGAGACCTGGAATGAGAGAGGGGGAAGGGAGAAGGGGGGGAGGGGGGGGGGATGCAAGGGAGAGAGGGTGAAGAAGACCCAGAAGATGCCGTCGGCGAAGAGGCACGCCAGGAGTAGCGCGCAGACCTGGAATGAGAGAGGGGGAAGGGCAGGAGGGGGCAGGAGGGGGCAGGAGTTGGGGAGTAGGCGGGAAGGCAGGGTGCAGCAAAGAGCGGGGCTGTGCACCTTACAAAGTTACCACCTTACAAAGTTACCACCTTACCTTGACTTGACGTTGGGAAGCTGCACGTGGTCGGACCAAGGGAAAGCAGCCAATGGCTCGACGCCAGCCAGCACAGCACCCCAGCACCAACTCCCGTTACCATGGTTTCCTGGTGTTACCAGGTTACCACCTTACCTTGACATTGGGTAATCGCACGTGACTGACAAACGCAACGCATATGGCCGTGCCAAGAGCGTTGTTCAGCAGCCAGTGGCCCGACACCAGCCAGCACAGCACCAGCGCTCCACTCAGCACCCCCAGTACCAGCTGCATTCGAGTCACCGCTCCCAATACCGTACTGCCCCCCTCCCCTGCGGTAATATAAGCGCTGCTGCTGCTGGTGCTGGTGCTGGTGCTGGTGCTGGTGGTGGTGGTGCTGGTGGTGGTGCTGGTGTTAGTTTTGCCACTAGCAGAGTTGTTTCGGCTCACACTCCTGTTGTGTCCATCGCTGCTGTTGCTGCTGCTGTTGATGTTGGTACTGCTTCTGCTTTCTCTCCCTCTCATTCCTTCACCTAGCAATGTGCCGCCACTGCTACCCCCACCCTCACCCCTTCTGCTGCCACTGCTGCTGCTGTTGCTGTTGCTGCTGGTGTTGCTGCTGCTGCTGTTACTGCTGCTGCTGTTACTGTTGTTGCTGTTGCCGTGTTGGCCACTCCATAACGAGAACGACGGGAAATATACAGTAATCAGCGGATCCTGCAGCCCCAGGGAGGTATTCAGCCACGCCACTAACGGGGACAGCGCGAAGCAGGTCGCAGACGCCGACGCGACAGCGGCGAACGCGGTAACCAGCTGCGAAACCGTCGCGAACAGGTAAAACATGAGCAGGAGAGACACGGAACTGGCCAATGGCAGCAGCAGCGCGCGGTTGGTGTCTAGGGTTATGGCCGACGCGGACATGTCGCGATGGCGCTCCGACTCGCGGTCGTGAATGAGAGCGCGGAAGGCGGAGAGGAGGACGACGGAGAGGGCGGTCGCCACGAGCGCGAGGGACGACGGTTCTAGGAGGTACTGGAGATCGCGAAGTGGGAACATTGCGATAGCGAGGGTACGTGTGTGTGGCTTGGTGGACCCAGTACTCCTAAAAAACCGAAGTGTACGACCCAAAGTGTAGGTGCTTGTCGTGAGAGACCTCGAGCCGTGACCTAAAACCGCCAACAGTCACTATTTACAGGGCGATTCTGGTAACGCGATCATGCTAAGTTTCCTAGGCGGCTTGAAGTCCTCTCTTCTCTCCCCACTCTCACTCCCCTCTTGCACAGCACCCGCTTAGCTTCCTGAACTAATTTAGGCGGCTACACCGCTCTCCTCTTACCGCAGTCTAGACTCTTCCGCTGACTCAGCATAATGTGGCATTACCGTCGCTCTCTCCCCCCCTCGCACAATAATCCAACCTTTGAGGCTCGCTCAGTTTCGTTTAGACCTAGTTGCCCAGCCTTGCGCGCGCAGAAAGCAACCATTTTTAGGCTCCGGAGATTCCGGAATCACTGAAGACTCCTACGTTGTGGCCTTCGTCAGGAGTACCTATTCCTCGATAAAAGCAAACGCGGTATGCCACTAACGCGGTATTGCCCCGACGCAGTTGATGTCAGGATACCGGTCCTCGCATAAACAAGCGATGAGTGACCTAGGTTTGGTGTGAACAAACCTCAGAACCAGACTAGGGCGGGTTGCGCTGGTTAGAAACCTGATTATATTGCTGCAGTACAAAATGGCCTTTTTCGCCCAGCTGGCGTAGTAACCATTTAAATGTTCGTCGTCCGTGAGTGATTTTTGAGTCGACTCAAAAGTCGTCCCTCCGTTTTTCGCGATAGTCGGTAACCTCCTCGTCACCTACAAAATATTGCAGCTCTGGCCCCACCCTCGTCCATACTTCACGAAATACCAGTAACGCGCTGTAGCGAACACAGAAGTCTTCGGCAACGAATTGTATATCTTACGACACGAGCAAGAATCGAGCGCCAAATTCCCTTTCTAAACACGCTCTCCTAACAGCCACTCAGCAGAATTTTGCTCCTGATTCATTACACTGGCAGTACATCGGAGATTGTGGGGGTTGGGTTGGCGCCTTGTACACAACTCGTGAACAAGTCGGGTTGGAGATGGTGGGGTTCGGGAGATTTTCAACACGCGGGCAATAGCGCAGGTGAGTTGAATTCAAGAAGGCGAACTGAACCGAGGCGCGTTCGGCAATTTCGCGCTTGATTGGCAGCACGAAAACAACACGCCCTCGCATCGGGATTACCATCACCGCATGATTCTGAAGTGGCCAGCGAACTCCACGATTTTAGTCGGCCAGTCGTAACGGCCATGAAGGTTACAATGAGGGGCATGGAAACCCGTAATTCTGTTAGGGTAGAATGTAATAGGACGTTTCAAAATATTTTATAGCAACCTCGACATAGTCAGATGTGACTATAAATTATAGTAGCGGTAGTCACCTTGCAATTAAATTGTGATTCAGTATATGCATGGTATTGTCTTTTACCTAAAGTATTCATTTCCGCTATAATATTCAATTTAACTATCTATTGAAAGCTTCTACATACATACTTCTACAATTCATAGGTCATGCAGTCAAATTAGAATCAGAACTGTTAGAAATACTTCCTACTCTACCCCTACCACCTCTTCCCCTACCTCCTCTTCCCCTCTCCTTCCCTTTTTCCTTTCACTGCTCCTCTTCATCTACTCCCTCGACATAAGTCTCCTCATCCAGCTCATCACCAAACATATCCTGCTCAAGGACAGCCGCTTCGACTGGAGTCCAGTTGTACAGATAGAGCCGGCCGATGTGAATAGCCCCAGTCGCATTTGGAACGGCTCTCACCCTGTTGATGATCCTCTGAACAATCCTTGCCTGCCTTGCAAGTGCATCACAGTCTCCTGACCGCTCTAGCTGAAGCTTGGTGCTCGTTGGGTTCCTCAGCTTGTATCGGACCTGCCAAGGGTTCAAGTTGATGGAATGTTAAAGTGAGATTGTGAGTAGAATCAAAGCATAAAAAAATGCTAGAAAACACTTACAACAGCCATCGAGAGGACTAGCTGTTCGGCCTGAAGCCCAAGAATGGGAGCGTACCCACCATTCCACACCCGCGCAACAGCCACAAATGCAGGGCTGCTGAATGGCACTCCATTGGCTCCAACATGCCATTCCGTACCCTCCCCACCTGCATTTGATCAAGTAATCAGACTTAAATGAACAAATACAATACACGAAGAAAAAGAACTCAAGGAAAAATACTTACGTGTTGCATGGGAGGCCACATAATCAAGGCACTGCGTGGCAAAATCCAGAGATACATTTCTGGAACTTGAGCCAGAAGGGATGAACGGAATAGGGTCATTAGCAAATGCAGCCTTGCGAATGTCAGACAGTTTCTTGCCCAACCTGTTGTTGAAGGTGGCAGCAAGGGCTTTCACATGCCCTCCTACGACAGCTTCTCGCTTGAACTCATTCGCGTCCGGCAGGTTAGGGTCAATATGAGCCACAGCTGCACATGGTAAGAGACTAGTTATAATGACAAGAACAAAAAAGAGGAAGCAATATGAACCCTAGTATCTGAGTACTCACAACAGAGCGCGTTTATCCAGTACTCATCATCTGGAGCGAAGTTGATGTGCCCTGGACGGTTGAGGGACTGGTATATCGCCTTTTTTTTGTACAACTGTATATGGAAACCATGTGCATTAGCAACGGCCTCAACAATGAAAGGTAGAACAAGAGTGAAAACACTTACAACCCACGTGCTGCTGGACGTGGTGGATCGAGCAAGTTGCCCTGCAAGCGTGTTAACTGCAACCAGGGCCTGTGCAGCAACTTGGGAGTTACGCTGCACAGCCTCCCGAGCCTCATTAGCCGCCTCTTCAGACTGCATGATGGACAGCCGCCAATTGTCTGGCACCTGGGACGAGCGGAGAGGAGCCTCTTGGAAACGGGGAACTTTGGGAGCATTAGTGCCAGCAACAAGACTCAGCAGACGAGCACCTGTAACACCATAACCTGGAGAACAAGAACTTAATGATTAGAGTGGATAGTAGATAAGAGACCATACTAAACGGTTACGAGAGAAGGAACATGCACATTACGAGAGTACCATACCTGCTGGTGAAGGTGAGCTGTTAAGGCCTGAACCTTGCAGAGGAGCAATTGTAGCAGGGGGGTCTGCTGTACTAGGCTGAGCTGTTGTTGTGCCTGTGGTCGGATTGGTGTTGCTAGGCTCACTCACTGCATTGTAGAAAACGTCACCATATTAGAACTTGGATGTAAGCTACAGCTACATGCTGAGCAGAGATAACATACCAGGTAGGGAGGCGGTCACAGGCTCTCCAAAAGAGTCAAGAGACCTCTTCTTTGTTGCCTTAGGTTGCTGCAATCCAGGGGCGTTGATAGGGGTAGAATTTGGTGAAGCATCGGTTGTGTGGCCGACGTTGTTGTTGATCTCTTGTGGTGCTCCAGAAGTACCTGCAAGATGAACACACTTGAGTGTTTAAGAAGCAAAACAGGGAGTATAAAAAGCCAAGAAGGAAACACAACCCATACCTGAGATGCCTCCGTAGTGCTTCCCTAAGATTTGATGCTTGTCCTTGCTTGAGCGGCCAAGAGTCTGGCGAGCAGCCATCATAGCATAAGCAGGAACAGAGTTGTAGTTATTCCGCATGCCTCAGCTAGATATGTATGGTAGAGCTCGAGCAAAGAGTATTGAAAAGAAGTGGCAGTTGATTGCGAAGACATGGAGCTACAGTTTTATAAGTGAGGTGCTTACCTGTGAACGAGGATCAACACCAGGCACGACAAACCGCGTTCGGAGTGACAAAAGCGAGGGAGGTTGAAAGTCTAGCCCCGTGTTTAGGGACCACGCCTCTGAGGGAGGTTTGTAGACTACCAAAGCTAAGTTAGGCTTGTTCGATATCTTAGAAGTTTGAATTGCAGATTCAAACTCAGAGCAGGCTTGGAGAAATCTGGTTGAGAGTACGTGCTGAGGGAGCTGCGAGCGAGGCGGATGAGAGTGCTTGGTGTTCACCTTGGTCTCCAGCCAATGAGGAGCTCGGAACCTTCTGTTCTGTGGCGCGGTCTGATGAAATTTTAGAAAGCACTTTTGAAGTTCACGCTTGGAGTTCACATCCTCGCTGTACATGTTTCTACTGAACAGAACCATTATCTAGCACAGATGAAATAAGCATCGCGTTTCACCATAACAATCGCGGGATGGCCCGGGGAAGGGGGGGGGGGGGGGGGGGGGGGGAGTGAGAAGAAAAAAAAAAAAAAAAAAAAGGACAGTCCAGCAGTCCAGTTGTCTTATCTTCCGCGTTGCCTGAACCGACGAATCACGTAGTCCGTTCGAGGAAGCGTTGTCCAGTGAGACGGTCTGACCAACCAGATTGTCTTTCCATCCCGATGGTGTTTTCGTGTGGAGTTCTGCCAACAAGATTTGTCCATTTAAGCTACACTAAACAACTCACGCGAAGACATTGGAGTGGCAGCGCAGCGGGGCAGTATTTTGCGTGTTGCAAAACCCGAGTGTTTCTTTGGGCAGCATCAGTTTTTTCTGCCGCGAATCGCCTGACGCGGGAGACCCGTTATGTGGTGCTAGGTTTTTTTGTAGAACATATTGTTCGCAGGTTGTGGGATGCCAACTGCCAGCAGCATTGCACTGACCAATGCGGATAGGGCAACTTTGTGCGTCAGACGCCTGGTGAATTCTACGAAGTTGCGCCCGTGCAGCCTGCGGAGGGAAGGACCAGTGCCATTGGTCCAAATTTGATGGTCGTTTGGTTAGCGGAAATTTTTCGACGAACCCACAGGTGTTATCGAATGGTCGATAATTTCTCACATTGGCTGCATGAACACACTGTGCAGTGCAATGCCTCCTTTTTGCATGCGACTGCGCAGCGCACAACTAGTGCAGGCAGGCACTGTGTATAATCTAATCTCGTTACAGTACAGTCGTTTACAACACTTCAATTGGTGCGGGTCTCAAACCGTGGTCCGAAAATCGTAAGGGTGGAGGGAGGTTTAAATGGTAGATTATATGCTGTGTAATATATACAACATTTATATGCATATAAACATGCGTCATCTCCTAAATGGGTTGTACAAAAATGTTGCGCTGTCGCTGCGTACATCATCTGTGAGTGGAGCGACGTGAAGCACACGCAGGATGTCATCAACAGGTACGATGCCGTATGCCCCATCACCACTCGCCCATGTCATGCGGTCCAATACCGATCCTTCAGCCGGACCAAGCACGTTATAAAACCGCACGAAAGCGACCTGCTGGCACTCCTCGCCATTAGTCAGCGTGAACATTAGGAGTAACTTGCAGAATCTTTGTGCATCTGCGTCGTCAGTGGAGTGATCAGTAACAGCAACGTCGGAGAACCACGGCCTGCCGTAGAAAAGAGGAGTGGCTCGAGCGAACTGTGCATGCCGATTGTATATCTCGTAGTTTTCACCAGGCGGAACGGCCACTCCACGATGAAGGTTAACGCGTGCGTCACATGTCCTATCGGGCCCTAAAAAGGACATAATAGAAGGCAACAATTGCTCCATGTTGCCTGGAATAGTGTGTGCATATGCTTGCCACAGCGAAGACCTATCGCCAAGGAGAGCCAGTTGCCCATTCTTGCCAGTTACTGCTGGACACCCAGTTTGCAAGGCCTGGAAACATGAGTGTTAGGGGAGTAGTTGGAGGGATGGTGAGAAAACAAAAATAGTGGCAATGATGGGTCGTGGAGCTGGTCAAAAACAGATTTCGCGTACACATGTACTTACTTGACTCAGCGCCCCGTTCCTTGCAGCTGAGTCTTCTGCTCCTTCTTCTTGGCGTGCGAGTATATCCACGAGCTCAGCCACCAACGCCTTTCGTGCTATCTGCGACTCAACATTCTTTTTGTTGCTTGTGCGGTATGGCCGCTTCATCAGTGCTATGTGTAGATGCTCGTACATATCTGTACAATAGTGAGCAGGAATTCCCCCACGACGAATGTCATCTACGACGTGAAGCATCGCATGTACCTTGGGAAGATTGAACTCGGATGATTGCTGCTCACCAAACACGTCCACCAGCTTAGCGACCAGCCTGCAGTTTGGGTATTAGTGGTACGAAGGATATGAATAGGAAATCGACATAGATAAGAGTTTTGACCACATGTTGAATAAAAAGCAAGAGTACTACGCTTCAAAGCTAGCGGCTCTAGGCTTCACTTACTTCTTAGTGAGTAGATCCAAGACATCTAGGCTGTCCTCCGTGTGATACGGGCGTAGCCACACCTCGGTGTGCCAATAAACGTACAATGACACCACCTCACGAATAGCTGCAGGCGCATTTACCAACTCAAGAATGATGGGTAGAACCTGCATGACCGACTGATGTTCAAATGCTTGGAACACCCCTCTGTTTGCGAAATAGTGCTTCCCTTCGGATGGCAGGCGGAACAAGGATTGGCGGCTGAAAGCAGTGACGTTTCGCAAAGCAATATCCATAGCAGCAATTTTATCTGGGAGCATCGCGCGTATGCAGTCGACCATGTGCTTGTACACCCCTAGAGCGGACATGTGCATGACATCACACATCAGCGAGCGATATGGATTCCCCCATGTTGTTGAGCCGTTTGGGAATCCCCATATCCCAACCTGCATGTCGGCGGGAGAAAGAGCAGCATAGGTAGACGTCGTACCTAACGAGATAGTGAGTGATTGAGTGAATGGAAATGTGGGGGGGTAATAGAGGAGAGAGGTGGGGGATGTGGTGGCTGGATTTGGGGAGAGAGAGTGTGTGCATGGCAAGGAGGGGGGGAAATGGAAGAGAGGGGTGGGGGATGTGGTGGCTGGATTTGGGGAGAGAGAGTGTGTGCATGGCAAGAAGGGGGGGAAATAGAGAAGACATAGGTGGGGGATGTGGCTGCACGCCATGCACAAAGCCTTCAAAAAAACTCATACAATCTGTGACGTTCCCCTAAACGTTCAAACATGAGGGGACTAGACACTTGCAAGCCCCATCCCAAACGTACTTTGACTCGATGTGTGCTCTCCACAGTTTCGGCTCGAGCTAGAGCTGTGCGACCACGGAAAGCTTGCAGTTGCGCCAGAGTCAGCTTTTGGCCCTCCTCCGTCCTGTACTCCCACCGCGCATCAGCGTTCGCCAAGTTCTCATTCGATATGAGGCATTTCGGGCATGGAAACCGCGTCTGGTTGCCCATTTTCGTCCCCGCCACCTTGCATTGCTCAGGATAATCGCCCACATATGCGTATAGCAACGGGCGAACATACCGAACAACACCTAGGGGATCCTTCATCCTCATTCCCGTTGACTCCACCTCCTTCTGCTTCTCTAGAATCTTCTCCAGACAGGTGTGGAAGATCTCAAGCCGTCGACGTGCCACATCCACTCCAGGCTTGACTACGTGCTTGCTGAAGTCCGGAAGCAAGGCTGCTAATCGTCTGCCATGAGGCTTCCAGCGTTCTCCAGATGAGATGTTACCCAATGAAACATAGACAGGGTGACCAGTTGCTGATCCATCCTTGGCTAGTTCAGTTGCATCTGAATATAAGATGACAGCAGCAATAGATGCACCATCTGGTAGTCCAGCCACAGCCTCTCTCCAGAATGATCCTGTCGAAGGTTCTGTGAATCTGTGTGCTTCTTCACTCTCGCTGCTGTCTTCAAGTTCCGCTACAAAACCTTCTGCATTTGCAGGATTGCTGTATAGGTCAGCCACGCATGCCCATGTCTGCCGACACCACAGGATCACTGGCGTCGCATCCTGCTCCTTGTCTGTGATGTCAACTGGCTCCAAGGGTTGCAATCCAACCTCTTTTTCCAAGGACTCCTCAAACCGGTCCACATCTGCCAGAGTCTCGAAGCTGAGTGGGGTTGTCTGCGCTTCCTTGAACAACCTCAGCAGCTCTTTCACTGTTTCACGAGACAAACCAGTCCCTCCATTCCCGGTTTTGGTGAGCATCCAGAACTGGCCATCAATATGCATCAATGGTTCGGTCCGGGCCATGGAAAACTCATACCCCGTGTTATCCCAACTCGGAGTAGCCTCATCTGCAGCCCGAGGAGGCACTGCAGTAGATTCTTCACGAGCAGATGCCGAGCAAGGGCTTGCAGGATGTGTAGGAGCTGTGGACTGGACTGGTTGCAGAGCTGGGCCATAAATGTGGCGCTCGCTTCTTATATGATTGGTGCGCTCATCTTGGGACCTGAAAGAAGCAAGGCATCCTGGTTCATTACACACAATCCGCCGCCTCTTCCTTCCATCCATCCTGATAACAGCTGAAGTGTTGCCTGGGAACGGTCCTCCACTATATAATTAGAGTACAAAGATATAAGGAAGTATTCTGAACCTTAGAAGTATGCTGTGCTTAACAGCACATACTCTGCAGCAGGATTCGGGCCGCCAGAAACGAAGAAACCCTGTACTACGATATAATAACCACGAATATCAAGCCTAAAGGTGCTGCATCCTCCTAGGCGTTAAGTACACAGACTATAGACTGCATACGCCCGTTCGTGCCAGAACCGCCTGTGCCGTCTTAACCAGAAACACCAGACGACTGAAGGTGAGCCCCCATGTACAACGCGAATTTAGTGAGAAAAAGCCACGGAAACCATATCCACTCCTTCGAACCTACATTTAAAAATCGCCACGAACGTTGATGACGGTCTGAGGCTAAGCCAGGTAATAATTCGGAGTAAGTGCGGGCACTACAAGGAGAGTTGGACTGGGGGTCGAGCTGACTAAATTAGGAAACTGTCGCTGGAAAATGCTAAGGACGTACATGTGAGACACATCCACAGAGGATGAATTTGGGTCCGCGGAGAGAAGCACGCCCGATGACGAGAGCAGGGAGCAATGACGACTTTGACGCAGGGTGGACAGCAGGGCCAGTGAGAAACCCAGGGTGTGTCCAGCGCGTACGTTTACAGTACACAGATCACGTTTCAGCAGGATATATCACGATCAGGAGTGCTTCTCGCGCTTCACCACGTTGGAACTCTGAAAACCATATTGAACCGTATAAAGTGAATTTTAAACGAACGCGCTGGACGCGCCCTCATCGACCTATCAGCAATCTCCCAGGGTTGGCTGGAGTGCGGCGATTCGCACCCTCAACATGAGTGACGTGTCTCGTCGCCAGGCGCGAGAATTGCGCGATAATTGCACCTCGCGCTTCGCGCGAAATTTGTGCTTGTTCAAACTTTAGAGGTGCAGCTGACGCGTACAGTGCCAACGTCAGCCATTAGCAGCAATTCGCGCCACACTCTGACAATGCTACACCAAAAACTAGGCTACGTGGCAAAACACGTTCCTCGCTGGCGCCCGACATTGTGGTTGTGGATGCTTGTGCAAACATCGGCTGTTAAATCCACTCATCAATCTCCAACTGGACGATATTCACCTTGCTGGGTGATATACGCGGCACTGCCTGATCTCATATAAATTAGGCAGCTAACCCTTCACCAATCCTTTTGCCATGCAACGTACCAGGTACTACACTGCTAATGGTGGAGGCGTCATTTCGATGATCACATTTTAAAAACATACTCTGATAAAGTTCAAATGAATAATTAAACAACACAGAACCAGTATAAGACATTGGGCTCAATTACACAACACATACACAACCTACAATGACATATTTTACACATGCAACATGTACAACCCCATCTTCTCGCGAGGTGTATTACAAGATTGCTGCTATTGAATCTCACAGTATGCAAAACGCGACAGGGCCGCTACCACCCACAAGTTCGCCGAGTTGATATCAACATCCAACTGATTGGCCCGTCGCTCGAAGTCGAAATCATTTTGCCACACGTGACGCCTTTCGACCAATAGGGTATTGAGATGACATCGTTTTAGAGCTGCTTCTGATAGATTTACTATTTGCAAATGATTTGAGTTGCGATGAAGTTGAGACCGTGTTGAAAACCGGGTTTGCTTATTCTCCGATACCTCCTCTTCTTCTCTGGCCATTGTAATCGCGTCGCGGCAGAATTGGCTCTAGCCATCTACTGTAATACACATACTCCGCGACGAGTGCGTGTCTATATGTAGTGTCTCTCCTCAAGAACAGTCCTTTGGTGCCTCGACAGCAACGCCGCTTAGAGTATCTAATTTGAGTCCCTGATTTCCATTCGGTTCGTTCAATACCTGATCGTCGCCTCTCTCGGCTTCTAAGACTCATTTGCCTCGCCGTCGTCTGCTGCTGTTTCTCTGTTTTCTAGACAAGCCTTGAGAGACAATTGGGACTTGAATCTATAAGGCTGCTGATTTTTTTGTTTTATTGACACGCCTTGAGAGTTAGGGCCCTGGAAGATTAGCCTTATCGAGTAGAGCTAAAGCACGCCGTCAGTGTCGTCGTCATCTGCGGCTTCGTCGCTGTTTTACACATAAGCGAATTGATACAAGACGTTTATTGATATTTTCCGACGAACCGAGTCTCGCACTATCGTCACCCAGCGTCACCCAGCGTCACCCAGCGTCACCCAGCTGCTGCTGCTGGTGTCGGTTCGAGCAGCAATTCAGCCTGAAGACCAGCGCGGCCAGCAGGATTTCAGTTGTTTGCAGCTGCCAGCCATGGCAGCGTGGCAGACGCGGCTGAAATATACGCTTCAGAAGAGCTTCATGTACAGCTACGTCCTCGTGCGCGTGAGTGCTGGAGTGTACATGTAATAATCAATCAGTAAAATAACACTTCAACTTCGTCTATTATCATCCATGAATAAAATGCTTCATGTACAGCTACATCCTCGTGGCACTTCTCTCCCCCCTCCCTCCCTCCCTCCTTCCCTCCCTCCCTCCCTCCCTCCCTCCCTCCCTCCCTCCCTCCCTCCCTCCCTCCCTCCCTCCCTCCCTCCCTCCCTCCCTCCCTCCCTCCCTCCCTCCCTCCCTCCCTCCCTCCCTCCCTCCCTCCCTCCCTCCCTCCCTCCCTCCCTCCCTCCCTCCCTCCCTCCCTCCCTCCCTCCCTCCCTCCCTCCCTCCCTCCCTCCTTCCCTCCCTCTGGCCACCTGTCAGACACACGTAAAACAGCACCCAGGGCAACTCCTCCCTCAACCTAGTGTGAGCACTCAACCGGGCTCTGGAGCACGAGTCTTCATATTTGACAGGGCGTCGTTCCTCCCTTTTCCCCTCTCTCCCTCGTCCCGCCCTCCTCCCACCTGTCAGACACACCTAGAGCAGCACCCAGGGCAACTCCCACCCATCCCCAAGCTAGTGCGAGCACTCAACCGGGTCCTGGAGCACGAGTCTTCGTACGTTACAGCCCTTTTGCCATCAGCGCTAGGAGGCGAGTCCATGAGGCCGACTATAAGGGGGACGAAGGACGAGTGGGTGCTCTACCGGTATCTGCTCCCGCCCCTTTGGCAGTAAGTGTTGCACGTGCCTTGCTAAGTATCCCTATTCCGAGGCATTGCTCTTAGGAGACGAATACTATTCGTGTTGTTTCAAATAGGCTGTTTGAAACTGCAGGACGAGTGGGTGCTCTACTGCTATCTGCAGTACCCAATATTGATCCACCCACTCCTCCCTTGGCAGTACGATCTCAGTTAGGGGGTTTTTTTGGCGATGAGAGCTGGTCTCCCTGCATGCTTCTTCTGCGGCCACCGATCCAGCCAATCCTGAGGCAGAAGCAACTCTTAAGGAAACATGTCTCCAGTCCACCCATTCCCCCCTTGGCAGTACGATCTCTGTTGGTGATGTTGTGGCGATGAGATGCAACCTCGCAAATGTCTCTACCGCGAATCCCGAAGAAGAAGAAGCACCTCCCGAAGCAAAGGCAGCACCCAATCAGCTCCCCTTCGTTTTCCGGCGAGTGGCAGCCGTCGCTGGAGACGAGATGGTGTCATCTCAGCCGTCGGATGAGCCACTTCGGATAGAGAAGGATCACTTTTGGCTGCTTGCCGACAACCCTGCTGTTCCTGCAAAGGTACCAGGTTCAGGGTGCTGTGGGGATCATGCATATTTTTTTTTCTTCAGAAGCCAGTTAGAACTCACACTTTGAGGCATCAGCAGCTGAGTCTCATAGTGCCATCTCGTTCCTTTCACTCACTCCTATTTATCTTACGCTTCCTCCTTCCATTTCATATTCCCAGGAGGCTCTTGACAGCCGCACCATTGGCCCCGTGCACATAAAGGATATAGCGGGAAGGGCACTGTATGTGATGCGCTCTGCAGTGGATCATGAGCCCATACAGAACAGGTGAGGGTGTTTACTATGAAGCATGTGACGGTAACACATATTGCTGGAAGGGTGCTGTATGTCGTGCGCTCTGCTGTGGATCATGAGCCCATACGGAACAGGTGAGGGTGTTTACTATGAAGCATGTAACGGTAACACATATCACTGGAAGGACACTATATGTGGTGCGCTCGGCGGTGGATCATGAACCCATACAGAACAGGTGAGGTAGGTGGTGGCTATTAACATGCTATGCTTCATTCTAAAGCGATGCATGTTACATGTAGCACATTGGGCAGTTTTAGCTTGTGCTACTTTCTCACTCATCCAATCCAAGCTTCAGTGCATATGCATATTTTTTTAGCATGTGCATATATTTAGCATCCAATTTAGCATGTGCATATTTTTTTCTTTGGCATGTTGCAGTGATCAAGCCACCATAGATGATGCACCTACCATGGCAATGGAGTGTCATATAGAGCAGCTACTGGAGAGAATAAAGGAAGAACAATTAGGTTAATGAATGATGTGCTCGTTTTTCTTTACCGACCTATTGATGGAGATGTTAGACAATTTTCTAGAAGGAAACTCATCGTTCATGCTTTGGTATTGTCCACATGGCTTCCTCACACACAGTTTGCCGGAGTTATCTCAAGAAATCTCCATACAAGTATGGGGCAGTAATTTCATTTATCTTCTTATTCTGGTATTTCCAACTCTTGCGCCAAACAACCTTTGTCTTATCGGACATCTTAAAATCCCATGAAATTCTGTTTGAGCGACGTTTATTGTGTCATTTCGAATCAGCTGTAGTTGAGTGCTCTCTTGCTGTAAGCGAGACGGACCCAATCAGGACTTGATCGGGATTCTCATTAGGATGGGATGAAGATGTAGGGTGGCAGCCATTGAGCTGGTTGGACCGCATTCCAGGCCAGAGCTAGATGCAGCTGTAATATTTCGCTAGATGCGGCTTTCCATCCTGACACATCCCATTCCTGGTCGTTATATTTCGCTCCCTAGAATGTATTAGCGACGGGGGTGAAGGCATTAACCGCTTCTATCTACCCTCTGTCGTCTCCCGACTCGACTCAACAAGAACAAAAACGAGCGCATGAGTCTCTGACGTCCGTCGTTCGCACCCGTCGTTCGCCCTTCGGCCGCATCCGATCCGTCCAGGCTGTTCGCCCGATAGCCTTTCGCCGGCATCTTAGCCTCATCAGCGTCGCCGGTAGCGACGGACGTCTCCTTCCGTTTTGGTTCTAGGTTTAGAGTTAAGCCTAGACAGTGTCTCGGGCTTTCTCGATTCCCTCCTCGTAGCCTCACCTCCGTCTCCGGTAGCAACGGCCGTCTGCTGTTGCCTCTCTCCTCGTAGCCTCATGCTGCTGTTGAGGAATCGAGGTTGCCCGACACTCTGGCCTCTCTCCTCGTGACTCCCGGTTTAGAATTGCGATAGACTAGAGCGTCAGGCAACCTCGATTTCTCTCTAGCCGAGATCGTCAAACGAATCGGTTACAGCTGTAACTACCATATGAGTTGTAACCATCATACAATTCGTCAGGCTGACGATCTATAATGATTAAACGAGTTGTATTGTCAGAGTAGCTATAGAAATATATGTGGCAGGAACCACTTGACATTGTAACCCACAGAATCACACCACAAGTTGTTGGCGTCAGGCGAGCTGTAACCGTCAGGCGAGCTGTAACCACTAGACAAGCCGAAGAGCAGCCAAGCTAGCATCAGGAGGGTTCGGGTCCAGCAGGCATGGCGGCATGGCTGATGCGGCTGAAATACAAGCTCCAGAAGGTTAACTTGTACAGCTTCGTGCTTGAGGACGTGAGTGCGCGGCATCTGCAAGTAGTCAAATTTTATTTATATTCCATACTGAAAGGGTTTCTTTTACAGCTACTTGCTTACGAATGTGAGTGGGCTGCAGGCGGGCAATGCATTTCGTATCCTACGTTCCATGCTGAGGGGTTCCTTTTACTGCCTCGTCCTTACGAATATGAGTTGTGCTTACGAGTGCGAGTGATGCATCTGATAATAGGGAGTCGATGAGTGTTATCTACATTCTTATGTTGTTATTCTTATCCTTCCGAAGCGTTCCTGGTACCGCTACGTTCTTACGACTGTGAGTGGGGCATCTGTTGAAGTTATGCTCTGCTGAGGAGGTTTCTTTTCTTTGTTATCCGCGATACACAGTGTACAGCGACCCCCTCGTGAATGCGGAGCAGGTTGCAGGAAAGGATCTCCCCCTGCTTCAAAGTTCACGCTAGTGAGAGCACTTTCAATGGCATCTGAACCGTCATTCCCTCTCTCCCCTCATCCCTCCCTCCCCTCATCCCTCCCTCCCCTCATCCCTCCCTCCCCTCATCCCTCCCTCCCCTCATCCCTCCCTCCCCTCATCCCTCGCTCCCCTCATCCCTCGCTCCTCATCCCGCCACTCCCCTCATCCCGCCCTCCCCTCATCCCGCCACTCCCTCTGTCTCCCCGTGTTACCTGTCAGACCCACATGGAGCAGCACTCAGGAAAGGAGCTCCTTTGCCGTGGAAGCACACGAAAGGAGCTCCTTTGCCGTGGAAGCACACGAAAGGAGCTCCTTTGCCGTGGAAGCACACGAAAGGAGCTCCTTTGCCGTGGAAGCACACGAAAGGAGCTCCTTTGCCGTGGAAGCACACGAAAGGAGCTCCTTTGCCGTGGAAGCACACGAAAGGAGCTCCTTTGCCGT